AAGGCGGTGCAGAGCAAGAGGGCGAAGCGGACTCTGGTCAGGCATGGGCCGAGAGGCAGCCACCAGAGCCAGGGCAAGATAGAGGGCGCGAACAGGGTCATCAACGGCGTCCTGAGAGCGATCTGGATCAACATGGAGGAGCACATGGGCGAGAAGGTGTCGACCGACAGCATCCTGATCGCCTGGGGGGTCAGGCACGCGGCATGGAGCTTGACGAGGTTCCAGGTGAAGAGCGACGGCCGTACCCCCTACGTGCGGATCTTCGGCAAGGCCTACGGCGGGGAGGTGCTTCCCTTCGGCGAGCGCGTGATGTACAAGTACACGGCGGTGCCCAGTGGCAACCTGGACCAGAAGTGGGCGCACGGGGTGTGGGTCGGCAAGGCACCGCTGACGGACGAACACCTCGTTCTGACCGTGGACGGCGTGAAGAAAGCGAGATCGGTACATCGACTGCCAGTTGACGAGCGGTACGTAAAGGAGGAGCTGGCGAAGGTGAAGGGTCTGCCGTGGAACGGCACGGCATCGGATCTGAAGGCGCCGATCGTGTCGCAGCAGGACCAGGGGCCATCAGGGCACAGGAGGCTCTACCTGACGAGGGCGATCGTGCAGAAGTACGGGGCTACGCCAGGGTGCTCGGGCTGCGCGGGGCTGGGGCCACATACCGAGGTGTGTCGAGCGAGGCTGGAGAAGATGGTGGCGGACGCGGCGGCAGGGCCGAGAGGCATCGCAGTCGGCGCGCCGCTGGCGGCGAGACCAGACCCAGGGCCGCCCGCAGGCGCTGCAGAACCATCGTCGGCAGCGAGCGGCGACGCTCCCAGGGCACCGGCTGGGGGCGACGGCAGCGGAGGAGTCGCGGCCGAGAACATGGAGGTTGACAGAGCGGACGCTTCGACACAGAGAGGTCGGCCCGCGGCGGTGGCCTTCCCGCAGGAGGCCCCCGAGCGCCCGACGGCAAAGGTGAGGTCTCAACCCCCTGTGGCGATCCCAGCCGTGGGAGGCGCAGGCACGGTCGTCGTCAGCGAGAGCGAGGCGAGGTCCAGCACCGACGACGTGATGATCGGGGGCCTGCACGTGATCGATGGCGTGGACGTGGTGGCGATGCTCATCCCAGAGGAGGACGAGTGGCAGCTCGCGGCGATGGACGACAGCAACTTCGAGACCATCTCCGACGACAGCCAGAGCGACATGATCGGCGAGGTGAACTACGAGGACCCCGCGTCGGCGGAAGGGATCGTGGCGTACGACTCGAGGACTGGCGAGCAGCTAGACAGCGAAGAGGTGCGCAAAGGGAGGTCCAAGGAGCTGCGCGACCTGGCGGAGTTCGAGGTGAAGGTCGAGGTGGACGAGTCCGAGATGATCAGCAAGCCAGGAAAGAAGATCTGGTCGAAGTGGGTGGAGACGCGGAAGGACCCGAACAGCGCTGAGGTCAGGAGCAGGCTGGTCGCGACCGAGATCAACACGGGCGAGGTTAGGACGGACTGCTTCGCTGCGACGCCGCCGTTGAAGTTCGTGAGACTGATACTGGCGTGGGCGGCGAGCTACAGTCCCAGAAGGAGCAGCGCGGGGGCCAAGATGATCCTGCTGCTGTTCGACATCTCTGTGGCGTTCTTCCACGGCCTGGTGCGGAAGGTGCTGTACGTGGTACCGCCGAAGGACCTGCGCAAGAAGGGCAAGGTGTGGAGGCTGCTTCGGAGCCTATATGGGACGAGGGACGCGAGCCAGGTGTTCCAGACGTACGTGGCGGACAACCTGAGCGAGCACGGCTTCGACAGGAACGCGGTGGTCCCGTGCTTGTACTGGGGTAGCGAGCTAGAGGCGCTGGGGGTTCACTGGGGCGACGACTTCATCTACGCCCTGCCGAACGACAGCGCCGACGACCTCGAGCAGCTGATGAGGGAAGTGTTCAAGGTGAAGATCTGCGAGCGTGTGGGGCCCAACTGCAAGTCCAGTGCGGCGTTTCTACACAGGACGCTTTCATGGAGTTCGAAGGGTTTCACCTGGGCGCATGACCCGACTCACACCGTGGCGATGGCCAAGGCTTTCGGCTTCGACGGGCAGACGCGCTTGGACCAGGAGAAGTGGGTCGTGACGGTCGCGCCGGGCTCCAAGACGGTGGGCAAGACTCGTGATGCCGCAGACCCCCTTGACGAAGAAGGAGCGGCGCTATACCGAGCGCTCGTGGGGACGGCGCTCTACGTCGGTCAAGACCGTCCCGAGGCGCAGTACGCGACGAAGGAAGTCGCTCGCCACATGTCGACACCAACGAGATCGGCATGGTGTGCCCTCAAGCGGTTGTGCAAGTACTATTCGGAGGTGCCGTTGCTCGTGTGGGAGTTCAACTACCAGAGGATGCCAGAGGACGTGAGAGTGGTCACGGACGCGAACTGGGCAGGCGAGCTGGAGGCATTGCGCTCCACCTCCGCTGGCTGGGTATACTTCGGAAGCCATCTACTCGAAGCCTATTCCTCGACTCAACAGATAGTGGCCTTATCGACGGCGGAGAGCGAGTACATATCGATAACGAAAGGAGCTGCACATGCGTTGGAGGTCAGGAGCGCGCTCGCCGAGTACGGCTGGGTCAAGAAGGTGATCTGCGAGGCGGACTCGTCGGCTGGACGGTCGATGGCCACAAGACGTGGCGTGGGTCGAGTACGTCATCTGGACGCGCGCCTGTTGTGGCTACAAGAGTTGTGCGCAGACGGCACGATCGAGATGCGCGTGAAGCCTGGGGAGTCCAACGAGGCGGACCTGGGCACCAAGATGGTCGACATACAGAGGGTGACCAAGTTGATGAAGACTACGTCGCTGCGCCCTCCTGGGGGCTGGGGCTGCTGGGTCGTGGCAGCGGCGTTGGAGAAGGCGACTGCAACAGACGATTGCAGCGTCGGCTTGGACAAGTACTACGGGGCGATGGATCGGACCAGCGGGAGTGTCTTCGAGAGCTGGGTGCTGGTAGCCCTCATCGGCATGGGCGTGCTCTTGTTGGTCCTGGGGCTCGCGTGTGGCTATGCCGTGGGAAGGTGCTGCTCGCCGAGGAGCGCCACTGGCGAACGGCGCAATGTGGAGTCCACGCAGACGGAGGAGCTCGAGATCATTCCGTACTGGGAGTGGCTGCTGAACGACCTGCAGAAGGAGCTGCACACCAGGGGCGTGAAGGCGATCCCGAAGCTGAAGGGCCACTGCATCCAGAAGTTGTTGGAGATCGACCAGGTGCGCCTGGTGAGGCCACAGCACTGGCCGCGGGTCAAGAGAGTGAGGCAGCTTTGAACGTGGATTCGCGCCGATGGCTCTTCTTGGGGGCGTTTAAGTCCTGGCCAGGCCTGCAAAGCAGATCGGGCAGCATCGGTGCGTTTCGGAATGCGTGCGCCTTGAGCACGCAAGGACTACAGCCTGACAGACGCCGAGTCGACTTGCGATTGAGCATGCGCGAGTCGAGAGGAGGTGCGGCGGTTTCTGGGGTGTCAGGGCCAATGTAGTCCAAACCTGGCTGACACATTAGGGTCCTGCGTGGTAGTATGATGTTGTGGCAGAGGGGCTTGTGCAGAGCAGTGTACAGCGGCACGAGCAGCAGCAGCTTAGCAGCATCAGGACTGGAGATCTGTCGCCGACACTTTGGCTCAAGTCAAAAGGATGTCACGATCCGTTCGGCTGACGCCCCATCCGCGCAATACACATATATATATACACACATATATATGTATATATATACCTTACGGAGCGGACGTGTGGGCTAGACAGTAAAGCTATTGCGCGCGGCGCAAGAACTCCAGGATTTAGACCCTCAGTTCCTGGAGTTACAAGTATGTCATTAAGGGAGTTGTCGTCTGGTTTCAGGCCCCAGGCCAGCACGGATCGATCTGGCTCGAAAAAAAGTAGCAGAAAGATGGTGGCAGGGGCTCCAGTCTTGATTGTGTACAAAACGGTTTTTTTCGCGACGTCGGATCTCAGCGGAGATCGGCTGCCCCTTGGCCTTCTCTTTTGCGTCGTTTGGTTTTTGGGACGTTTTCAGCGGGATTGTTTTTTAGCAGCGTTCGGCCTCATGGTGGCCCTCGCCGGGCCTGAGGTGCGGGCAAGACTTCTGCCCATATCCACTGCAGCTTGGAGTTTCGGGCTCTCTTCCCCAGAACCCCGAGGCGCTCTGGATATGGATAAGAATCTGGCCCCTATAGAATCGATATTTGTCCATATCCAGTGCGCCACGGCCTTGCGGTGCCCCTTCCGAGAAAAACCACGACGCACTGGATATGGACGTAAACACTGCGCGCATGCCGGGCCGTCCAGACACGGCCTGGAGCGCAGAACCAGCCCTGGGGACGTGGTCGACAGACCTCTGGAGATCCCCGCTGTGGGAAAAGTCGCGCCGTCGGAGGTCTGGGCAAGCGCATGCCCACGCGTCGAACCACACGATGTGCGTCCGCCCCGGCGAATTTCCAAGACCTCGGCCCGGGGCCCGTCAGCGGGCCCCTGGGGCCATCGGCCATGGGGACGGGAAGCTACAGTCCCTGGGAACGAGCTCGGAACCTCTGCGGCGCCGCAGACTGAAACGATCGCATCGACGGATGTCTGGGCGCTCCGGGCTTCACAATTGAAGGGGAACTGGAACACACAAATAAATACACACAAATAAAAAAAAAAACCTCATATTTCCCCATATTTTCTGGGCTTTTGTCTTCCCCCCCACATCCCATATTTTCCCATATTTTTTGGGAATCGCCGATTCATTGTGTCTGTGTGTTTTCTCCCCTCCTGAACAATAGCAGGGGGGGTGGTCTCATTTGGGGGGAGGGAGGGTCCGGTGTTTGAGCTGTCTTGGAGGGCTCCAGGGGGTCTGGGCAGAAGGCAGCCCTGACACGGCTTTCCTGGAGGGGTCTGCAAACGGCGCGTCTGGGAGAGTTGTGGCCCCCCCCCCCCTTTCTCATGAGAGCCGGGGTGCACACGGATCCCGGCAAAGCCCGCCCTGAGCCCGTGGCCACTGCGCACGCCCTGCTGGCCCTGCGCTCTTACGGCCTTGGCGCAGAGGCGGGCACCAGCACGAATATCGCTGGCTGCCTCCACCGAGATGATCCCGATCTCGATACTCGGGCTTCCGGAGGGCCAGAAGATCACCACCAAACACCAAAATCAAGGACCACCCTCCCTGGCGGAGGCAACTCCACGAGTCTCCATGCTGGTGCCAGTGTCCATGCCTACAGTACTTTTCGTCGCCTGGGCAGGGCTGGTGCACTCTTGCACTCTTGCGCACTTCTCGTGCCTTCCAAAATGCTAGAAAATCTCCCTCCAGAACTAGTTAGGCCTGTCATGACTGCCCACGAGAGCTCGACTGGACTTCAGGCTCAAAGGTCCTTGTGCCACTCTTTGGCGGCGCGCAGGGGGGTAAAAAGTGAGGGGGGTCCATCTCAGGAAGAGGCTGCTTCTTAGCAGGCGACGACCTCACACCTGTAGGCAAGGCCCGCGCCTGCTGAGTAACAGGGGTGCTTCTGAGAAGCCTTCCCCCCTCCCCCGCATCCCCCTCCCGCGCGCGGCCGAACTCCTGTGGCGCTCCTGGAGGGCCCGGAGCTTCTTGCTTCCCCTCGCCCGGGGGCCAGGTCCGCCACCGAGCCCTTGTCCGACGCCGCGCCTCCCGGCCCGCGTGCCCGCGCGCCCGCGCCCGCGCCCGCGCGCAAGGACCCACGGCGGGCCCGCTCGGCGCCCGCCGGCGGCCTCGCCGCCCGGCCCGCGGGGGCGGTGGCCCAGGCGGAGCGCGGCTCGGCGCCGCCGAGGGGCCCGTCGATGGCCACGGCCGCGGCGCCCAGGCACAGCGCCTTCAGCGCGTCGCCGGCGCCCCGCGCGCCGCAGTCGGCGAGGACGGGCACGCCGGCGGCGTGCGCGAGCCGCGCCACCTCGTGCAGCAGTGCCGCGTCGGCGCCAGCGCCGCCCCCGCCCACGCGCAGCCCCTCTGCTCCGGCCGCGAGGAGCCGGGCCGCCTGGGCGCCCGAGGAGACGCGGCCGGCGACGACGTCGACGCCCGCGAAGGCCTCTGGGACGCGTCCTCCTCCTCCTCCTCCTCCTCCTCCTCCTCCTCCTCCTCCTCCTCCTCCTCCTCCTCCTCGGGATCCTGGCGTCGCATTTTGACTCACGTTGGGCGACTTCGCCGCACATCGGCTGCTTGCAAGAGTGGCCTAGGTAAGAGCGACCTTTGGTGCGCAGCTCTGGGGGGCGCGAAGGGGCCAAGTCCAAGCGCGCACGCCGCTGCTATCGCATCGAATTCGGCAATCGGGGGCCGCAACGGTCAGGGAAAACTAGTCCGGGTAACACCTAAACAGGGCAACAAACCCACCATGGGATCCAAACGGAAAAACTGCAAGGGCCAGAACACCAAAATTGCACGGCAATTGTTCAGCAACGCGAAAAACCTGCACTGCATGTTATCTGCAAGTACTTACGGAAAAACTGCAAACAAGCCCCACAGACCGGGTAATAGAGGACCAAAACAAAAAGTTGCAGCGCAGCAGCCAAAAACATTGTCAACGCAGACAAGAAGTGGCAGGTGCTGCATTGAATGCGAAAGCCTGAACAACAATGCACTGCAACAAAATCCGCGTTTGTTGTCTCGAACCGGCCATTTCCTGTTACCCCGTCTGCTATTACCCCGTCTCCGCTTTGGGCCCGCACCAGAGGCCACCCCGGCGAAGGGTCACTCTTACATGTAGTCGTCGAACAGATCCACAGGGGAGCCAAAAACAGCATCAGGCAACAGAGCTGTGGGAGGCGCCCCCTCCCTCTTCGACGAAGAAGTGGAACGAGCGGCATCGACACAAAAAGTTCGGAGGCCCGCGCGAACTTCTTGGATCGGCGACGGGCCCCCAGGGGCGGCGCCGAAGGCGCCGCCAGGATGACCTGGCGCCGAGACAAGAAATCCGCACGGAACTCCGAAAGCCTCTGTCTACTCAGTTTCTTGTTCAGTTAATATGAATATTGATTAGAATCAGCACGGAACTCCAGAATGTCGTGCTTACTATGCTTAATGTTAGTATGCGTCTTCGTATTCTTGTTTTTCGATGGATTACTGGTTTGCTCGTTATTATGTTGCTTCGTTTCATGAAATACGAGTACGTTCACGATCCTCTCCTGACTCGTATGACTCCCCGAGCTTTCATCGATGTAACTATTATCAGTATTCTCATTCGCCGGATCATGATTCGCATTACTCCCCGTATTTCATCTAAGTACTATTATCCGTTGTCCTATTCGCCCGATCATGATTGTTATGTGTAGTCGCATTATTATTATCTGTAATACGACTATTAGTATTGTAGCTAGCATTGGCAAAATTACCCTTATTCCATTATTATGGCTATAGCTATAATATTTCAGTCTGCTCCTTATGCGTAATACGCGTCTGCTTCGTATACGTAATATGCTTAATATAAGCATAGCGAATATTCGTGTTATCACATAGCTTACATTATTCGTAACACTGATACCATACTGAATCATAAGATTGCTCATGAGGTCTATTTCTAACGTTATCAGCATTACTACGATTGTGTGAAATGGTTCACACTATTCGTAATCGTTTAATCGGTATGCGCATTCATATTACGAACTGTGTTTCTCACTCGTAATAGTAGTTGCATGTGTTGTATTATTGCGAGTTTCATATCGTTCCTCGTATTATTACTCGCACTGATAGTATCATCGTCATTTCTCTTTGTACGATTAGTAATATTATTAGTGCCATTCGAATCCAACCCCAGGACCCTCACGGATCGACCTGGCTCGGGGAATGCCTCGGAAAAAATGGGTCCAGGGCCAGTCGTGTTTCCCCACGAAGCTGCGTGTTGCTCGCGACCTCGGATCGCAGGGGACGACGCCGACCGTGTACCTGACCAGCTCGACGCACGCTGCCGCGAGCACGCGCGGCGCAGCGTGCATCGACCTGGTCTGGCACTCGGCACTCGGCACTGGCGTCGCACAGGGCCTGCTTGAGCCTGCCGAGGAAGGTCACCGTCTCCCCGTCGACACCACCGTCCGTGTCCAGGAGCAGGACGTCTGCGCCCGCGTCCACGAGCGCGCTCGCGCGCTCCAGGCCCCCGGGTTCGCCCGCGGCCACGGCCGCGGCGACCAGCAGGTGCCTGTTGGCGTCCCGCGAGGCGAGGGGGTGCAGGGCGTTGCGCCGCAGGTCGCCCTGGCGGGACAACGACAACCACACATCGCGGGCGCGGCGGCCCAGGACTGGGGCGAACTCAGAACGGGGCACATCGGAGATCTGTGGAATCCAGCGGCTCTGGCTGGCCAGTCGAGGCCAATATGCGCCAACCTGCCGGGTCCAACCAGGCAATCTGGCGAGGGAGTCACTCTGATCCAGTCTAGCGAGCAAGCACGAAATGCCAATATGATCCATTTGGCAACCAGCTCCAACATCAGAGATATCATTGGAGAAGCGATCTGGCATATTGCGCAATCTAGCGGCCTGCCCAAACAACGAATGTGGGCCACCCCCTGGGAGCGAAAGTACCGCCTCTGGCAGTCTGCTCCAAAAACCAAAGTGGCCAATATGATGAAGAGTCCAACCTGGCACTCTGGTACAAGATGCAATCTGGCTGTCCTCGCAAGCCAACCTGGCGGGCGCCTCAATCTGGGGCGCAATATGATGTTCAATATGGAAAACGTTGCAGTCTGATCCAAGCTGCCGTAAGAGCCAGATTCGCTTGGATTCTGTCAATGTGAACCTGTTCGAACCAAAAACAGTCCAAGCGCACAGCAAGGATGCGCGGTGAGGATGCAGAGGGCGCTGGAAAGCCATGTCGACGTGGCTCCAACGGCGCGCGGCCGAAGGCCGAAGGAGGCAAGGGTGCCCAGCTGAGTGTGGCAGCGATGCTCTCTGACTGAGCAGAGGTCCGCGGGCGCCAGCCGAGGGTCACAGTACCGAGGTGGGAAGAACAATCTACGAGGCCGATGTGGCATCACAGCAGCAATTCGGCCCCTGACTTTCGTCCTGGGTTCGGTTTAGTGAAGTGATGAACTTCGCGGTCCTTACGTAGGGAAAAACTTCGCTTCACTAATCTGGGGCCCTTGGGGCCTCAGTGGGCCCTGGGGCCCAAAATTAGTGAAGTGATGGTTTTCGGGCCTCGGACAATATCTCGTTCACCGCCTTGGAGCGCGGCTCCACACCCCCTGAAAAGAGGACGGGCCCGCCTTTCAAAAGTTCGGGCCTGGCGTTGACCCAAGCGGCTCCACAACCGGCCCCAAGGAGGTCCCAGGAGAGGGAACACGAACTTACAGTTGGAGCCCACAACTGCAAGGCGAGCCCCAAGATCGCATCCAGGCCCCCAAGAGACGCCCAAAGAGCCCCCCAGAGGCCCCCAAGACGCCCCGAGGAGGCCCCGAGGAGGCCCCCAGGAGCCCCCGAGACGCCCTAAGAGGCCCCCAAGGCCCCACAAAGGCGCCTCCCAGGTGGCCCCCAGAGGCATCAACGGCCCAGGCACGGTGGCGGTGTGAGCCGCAGAGCGCTCGATGGCCGCCCCGGCCCGACCTGGCAAATCAGGGCCTGCAGCTCCCGGTCCCCGTTCACGATGGGCAGCTTCCCGACCTTCGCTCCGACCATGGCGGCGGTGGCCTCCCGCAGCGTGGTGGGCTCCGTGACGCAGGTCACCTGCGGCCAGAGCCAGGCGCCGGGGAGAGGGCGGGAGCCGCGCAGAGAGGGGGCGGGGGCCTCCGGCGACCTGGGGCCGCCCTCGGGCCTCGTGGCCAAGAGGCAACGACCTGCGACGAGGGAGCCGATCCGGGGGTGGGGTCGAGAGCACTGGGCGTCGCAGCTTTTTTTTTAACAAAAAAAAAAAAAAAAAAAAAAAACACGACATCGGAGATCCGGGGGGGGTATGATATACTCACAACGATCTGGGCAAAACGATGGTGACTGTGTACGTTTTCGGGCCTGTTGGTTCACGCATCCCGTGAGACATCGCTCTCCGACAAATAGTAGATCTTGCTCTTCTACTACCACTAACACGATCACTTCCACGGCATCGATCACGATCACCATGACTGCATTACAACAGCAAAATGAATACTGATACTGAGATTCACACTCCCAGCAAGACCACTGCTATTGCTACTGCTGCTGCTACTGAACGTGGTACTCGAGCAAGAGTGCAGGTGCTACGAAGTGGTTTAATGTGTCAAAACGATGGTGGAAGCGCAAAGCAACGCAACGCAGCGCAACGCGGTGCAATGCACAACAATGTCCTTCAATGAAATCCCGGGTATACGGGGACTGCGCCCTCATGGCTCCACCTTCAGTAGATGTCTGCATGCCAAGGCCTACTGCGTCGCCTCTGCAAGCAAAGACGCAGGTGTGGCTGAAAAACATACAGACTGACTACGCTTTCGGACCACTTCTGGTATCCAATACGCCCCCGCCGAAAAGGCAAGGCCTCTCGGCACCGCCCGTTCATTGCTCCCGTGAGGCTCCCATGAAGATCCCGCAGGACACCAGCGCGCTCCCAGAAGGCCCCAACAGCTGGCTGGCCTGGTGGCTGTGCCGTGCGCCGCGGCCGCGAGCCGCGAGCGGCGGGCGCGCATGGCCGCCACGCCACATAAAGGAACCTAGGGCCGCGAGCCTCGAAGCATACACGTCCTGGGGGCGCGTGCCGCGTGAGGCACGCGCCTCCCCCGGCACGAAGCAGCGCAGCGCAGGAGGGAATCCATCCGCGTGCGCAGGGGGCGCCGCATCACAGTAAGACGAAGCCAGGACGAGGAGAAAGTCGGGCGAAGATGCATCGAGAATCTCTGGAGGATGTCTCGCCGCGGCCTTCTGAGAGCGTTTCCGAACGCTCGTTCCGGAACGCTCTGGAACGGACTCCTCCTCGTCCGAGCCCCGTCCGACACATGCAGGCAACCTGTCGGGAGCGGCCAAGAGGGGGGTGTCCAAAAGGGGGGGGGTGCAAATCATGACCGGCGGCATGTGCGCGGACCAGCGGGGGGGCCAGGGACGTAATGAAATAAGAAGAGGCGCCAGAAAGTCTGGGGAGATATCATGGCCTCACGCCATGATATCCACCCCCCCCCCTAGTCATCACCGGAGGAGGAGGAGGAGGAGGAGGAGGAGGAGGAGGAGGAGGAGGAGCGAGGAGGACGAGGAGGAGGAGCGAGGAGGAGGAGGAGGAGGAGGAGGAGGAGCGATGAGCGAAGAGAAGGAGCCCCTCTCTTCCGCCCCCGAACAGGAACCCGCGAGCCGGATGCTGGAGCGCTCCGGGACGCTCTCCCGGGAGCCTCCCGCAGCGCCCAGGGGATCGCCCCGTCGCCACCCGCAGCGCCCAGGGGATCTTAAACTGCTCGACTGGGAAGGTGATGACGCCCCCTTTTCAGTACGAAGTTCTGGAGTGACCCACGGCCCCACCGCATGCTTCTGCCCCTCCCTGCTCCCCAGAGGTATCGCCCGCCCTCGGCCGACGGTCGCCTCCCTCGTCATGATGTCCGCCAGGGTGGCGCCGCCGTCGGCGCAGGCCTCCAGGTCGCGCGCCGTGACCAGTCCAAGCAGCCTTCGGGTCGGGCGAAAGGGGGGGATAGCAAAGGAGGGGTTTGAGAATCAGCTCACGTAGCTGATTTTCCCAGCGCCTCCCGGCGCCGGGAGGCGGCCTTGTGTCGAGGAATGGGCGCCTCGGTGAGGCCGAAACCAGCTGCATGCAGCAGATTTCGAAACCCCCCCTTTCCCAATCCCCCCCTTTCGCCCGGCCCGATCCAAGCAGCCTGCTTCCCATCCGGCCGCTCTCCGTGACGGGGAAGGTGCCGATGCCGCACTCGGCCCGCATGGCCGCCGCCTCCGCCACCGTGCACCTCACCGTGCGGACCGCGGGCCTCCGCCTCCCTGCCCACGGGGAGGAGGAGGAGGAGGAGGAGGAGGAGGAGGAGGAGGAGGAGGAGGAGGAGAAAGGGGGAGGAGGAGGAGGAGGAGGAGGAGGAGGAGGAGGAGGAGAAAGGAGGAGGAGGAGGAGGAGGAGGAACGGAGAATGAGGGGGAGGAGGGGAAGGAGGAGGAGGAGGAGGAGGAGGCTCGCTCGCTCGCTAACTGCGCATGGCCACGTCTCGAGTGGCTCGATGGGGTCTGTGGCCGCAGGGCGCTCGGGAGACACCGTGCTCCCGCCGACGTCAAAATTCTACGGGCACCCCTCCCCCCGGCAAGCGGCATGGGGACACCCTGGTTGCAGCAAAGGGTCGAGAGGCCTGTACGCGCAGACACTATCTCGGAGACGCGGAGGGGACAAGAGGGACACAGCGGCAGCGGGGGGGGGCGGTGGCAGCAAGGGGAGACGGGGGAGAAGTCGGCCAGTCAGGCCGAGAGAGGTTCAAAAGAAGGTACAGCATGCCCCCACGACAGTAGACGAGGCGAGCGGCCTCGTTCAGAGAACCCTCGCGATACAAAGCATCGCAGTTGCACAGGCTACTTGCCATTCGATGTGCCAGCACCTCTGCCTATGCTCCGTGTTCTGTCTCGACGACGGCCTCTGGCGCGCACCAGGGGGCCCCACCCTCCCCGGAAGTGTACCTGGCCGCGCTCAGAGACAGATCCTGAAGAGGCCAGCTGTGGCCTGTTCGGGGGGTTCTGAGGGGGGCGGAGGTGCACGGTTTCCCCTGGGGCCGTAGGCGACCCGAGGAGGAGGAGGAGGAGGAGGAGGAGGAGGAGGAGGAGGAGGAGGTGGTGGTGGTGGTGGTGGTAGAGGGGGAGGGGGAGGGGGAGGGGGAGGGGGAGGAGGAGATTGAGGAGGAGGAGGACGGGTCGCCTAAGCCCTTCGGAGAAACCCTCCAGGCGGAGGAAGAGGCTTCGACGGGGGAGGACTGGGGTCTGGGCTCAGTGGCCCTCCCTGTGGCGGGTTCCCTCTGGGCATCTCCTCTGGCGGATTCCGACAGCGCCGCTCCTCGGCGGTCTTCGGGGGGGCCTCAACTTCGGTGCACTTCTGCCTATGGCCGAGAACAGAACTGCGAGAATCGAATTCCTCGATATCATGAGGCCTGACTGGTTCTGAACCCAAGCGTTGACGAAAGACGTGTGGCGAACGAGGGGCGGCGCGCCTCCCCTCACGAAGGCGGTCCTTGCCCGCCAGTAGCGTAACGTCTCGCAGGCCACGGGCATTGGCTGCGCCTTCAGATGAAGAATGAGGGCGCCCAGCGACTTCAGATGCTCCACTAGGTGCAGGTTCTGCCTGAGAACTTCCTGGGTGCTGATCGCCTCGAGGGCCGCGAGCCCGACCTGCAGGCTGGGTGGTCCCAGACCGTGGTCCGTGGACTTCTCCTTGACCGTGTCGGCGTAGTTCTGAGCGGCTCCGGTGCGGGCTGGCTGCAGCGGTGCAGAGGTATCCTGGCATCCTTGCTGTACAGTTTCCGCGCCCCGGTCCTTTTCATCTCGTGTCCTTCTCCTAGTTCGGGCTGCAGCCGTCTCGCCCTCAACGCATGAGAAGAAAGGAAGGAGTGGTGGTCTGGTCGAACCTGCTCTTGCTCCATGAAAGTCCCAACTTGCGACGTTGAGGTAGATTTGCTCACAATCTCTCAGAGCGCCGTGCGCATATCTACGCTGTATGCTCATTCGACCCTTTCAGCGCAGCCGTTGCTTTCTGACACTAGCATAAACCAAGCGTTTCTTGGAAACGACTCGGACATTACAACGACCCCGGTACTCCAACGACTCCGGCTGTAATTCCGACCGACGTATTGTCTTAAGTATCCTTTGCAGGCACGCTCCTGACCAGTCTGGTCCCTGGTCAGCCGAAACTCGGAGGCTCAGCTAAAGCGTGCCCTGATGAGGGCTGAGCTTGTATCAGTGTTGTCGCTGTCTCTCCTCTCCCTCTCCCTCCTCTCTGCCTCTCTCTCTCTCTATTTCTCTCTCTCTCTCTCTCTCTTCCTCGTTCTTTTACGACGTTCACGTGCTGTTCCACTTCACTGGGCGATTCCCCTCTCCTATGAAATTTATATATAAAGATAGATAGATAGATAGATAGATAGATAGATAAATACTCCGACGGAGGACGAGCGATCCCGACCCCCCCCCTGTGACTGCCGTGGGGGGGCGCGGGAAGGCGCCTGCCGCTGAACGTGCGCGGGTCCATGATGAACCCGCTCTCGTGCCCCTTCACCCTCCGGACCATGTCCGCCTGGGCCTGGACTGGCTGGTTCCTGCGGGGCCGCGGAGGCAACGGGGGCACCCGAATCCGCCCGCCCCCCCTCGCCCAATTCCTGCAGAGCAGGTTTTGCGACATTGGATGTTTAAAAACATCGGATTCTTAATACATGACTGGTTTATGAATACATTGATGTACGGACTCATCGTTGCTTTTTAAACTAAATCGCTGCATTTTTAATACATGATCCGCACGCGGAGCATGTATCAAAAACTGCACTGTACTCCGGATGCACAGGCAGCTCCTCCGTGCCGCAGCAGCAGAGGTGCCCGCAGGCTGCCCAGGGCTCACATCCCACGTCCCGGAGCTAACGTTTCCAGCAGCTGCGCGAATGGAGGCGGGGTCCCGTTCAAAATGGGGCTCTCGCCTCACTGCCGCGCAGACTCGTCTGAAAAGCTTGCAACATTCGCGCGAAGGGAAGCTGGGCCCTTTCCAATATGCGGGTCTCGCCTCATCGCCGCGCACACCCGTCTGAAGACTAGCAGACATTACGAGGATGGAGGCCAGGTTCTTTTCAAAATGGGGCTCTCGAGTGAGACGTATTCAAAAAGATGGCTCGACAAAAAGATGGCTCGACAAAGATGGCTTGACAAAATGTGACAAACAGGTACTCTTCAAAACCACATCAAAATTGGTGTGTCGCCTCAGCGCCCCGCACATTCGTCTGAAAACGCAGCTTTTCAAAATGGGGCTATCGCCCTGGACTCCCCCGAATCGCCCGAATCTGACGACCTGAAACTCGAACACGTAGACTTGTGCAAGTGTCACACGGCTGGAGGACGGTCCTTTCTCGAAGGGTAGCTCTCGCCAGACGAAGGGGAGGAGGAGGAGGAGGAGGAGGAGGAGGAGCAAAAGGAGGAGATGGACAAGGCGAACTGGGGGACGCACAAAGTCCATTGCCAGCCAAGAGCTTCGGGGGCGCGGGCCTGCAAAATCTAAGACCTCCTGAGGCTAGGTGGGCCCCAGCTTGGAAGCGGCCGGGGGGTCTGCACTGGATGGGCCCCGAGAAAATCGGTCGAGAGGGGGCGAAGGCAAATCCGCTCAAAATCTGTCCCCGGACCCCTCCCGGAGTCGAAACGGACCTCCACAAAAACGAGCATCGAGGAAGAACAAATCACATGACCATCAATATTCGAGGGTCCGCGCGGATGTCTTGGATCGACGCTGGAGACCCCTGGCGGCGCCTCCGGCGCCGCCCCGGGGGCGCTCCGCGCGCCATGGAGGAGGGTCCAGCGCCGATCCAAGAAATGAGCGCGGATCTCCACAGGCTCATGTTCGGGCGTTGGCAGAACTGGGTTCAGTGGGACCTGGTCTAGTGATGTGTACTGGGGGACGCCCCCCCGCCCCGTACCACGAACCGGAACTGCCGTCACCCGAAAAAACACCAGCTACGGCAGACCTGGTTTGAGGATTCTGGCCGATTCAGGGGCTCCGGGGCCCCACCAAGAACTGGGTCCCCTCAAACTGGGGTCCTGGTTTTAAGTCGGGCCTGTCCCCCTACAGTGGGATTTTCGACGAAAAATAAAAGAATACCCTCAAAATACTACAAAAAGGTATATAAAAAAAAGTCCCCAGACTATGTTTGGATTATTTTTGGGATATTTTATATTTTTCGTCGAAAATCCCCCTGTATGGGGACAGGCCCGACTTAATCCTGGCTATACCCGACAGGTGTACGTCAGTCGTTGCTCCTCGAGAGCACCCAGCCTCGGGGCTCCTGTGGATGACACCGACGCCCCCCTGGAGGGACAGCGCCACCGCCACGTCGGGGCTGGACGCCGCCTGCTGCAACGCCCCCGCGGGAGGGGGGGCGGGGAGCGGTGCGAGCGGGAGCGGCGCAAGAGGGGGACGAGGGAACGGCAGGACTGGTCAGCATCGAATCGGGCCGCATCCCAGACCCCCTCGCGCTGCGAAGAAATCCCCGCGGGAACTCGGTTCGCTATGTCCGGCCTCCGGAGGCTCTCACCGGGCCTCGGGACCTTCAAAAAACGACTCAGGATGAAAAGCTGGTCCCGGGGAATGGGTCCAGACCTCTGGGGGTCGACGTTGAGAAGCATGACAAAAAAAAAGACGACGTCGGGGGTCTGGGATCGGCACGGAGTCAGACTCGAACTGGATCGGCCGCGCCAGGATTCGGAAGCGGCCAAGAGGGGGGTGTCCAAGAGGGGGGGGTGCAAATCAAGACAGGCGGCATGGGCGCGTCCCAGCGGGGGGGCCAGGGACGTAATGAAATAAGAAGAGGCGCCATGAAATCTGGGGAAACATCATGACCCACGAAATGGATATCCACCCCCCCCTGGTCATCACCCCCCTCTCTTCCGCCCCCGAAGGATGCACAGCAACGCCATGCAAGCGTCGGGCCACGTCGAATCGACGGAGCATCGGACTCGAATCGGAGCGAGCTGGCCAGAGTCGGCATCGAATCAGGTCGATCGGATTTGAAGGGGCCCTGGGACACACGAATAAATATACACAAATAAAAGGATTACCCATATTTTCCTATATGTTCTGGGTTTTTGTCTTCCCCCCCACTTCCCATATTTTCCCATATTTTCCTGGGACTCGACGATTATTGTGTCTGTGTGTTTTTTCCCCTCCTGAGGATTGACATGGACCCTGCGAGGGGGGCTAGAAGGCAACTCCTGGGAGGTCATTTCCGAGGTACGGTGAAGGGCTACCGAGTCAGATCACAGGGCCATCGAGCCCAATCAAGGCGGATTAAGCTAAGCCAGGGATTAAGCCAGGGATCAAGCCGGATTGAGCCGGAGAAAGCGGGAGTAAGCTGGATGCAGCTTGCTTTCAACCACACATACGAATACCAGCGCCAATGCTGACTGCAACCTCGCAGGAGTTGCATATTCAGAGAGATCGGCGCGAGAACATGGCGGGGGTCTGGGACTGGCTCAGGGGGGGTACCTCGATCTGCACTCGGCGATGCATCGCCGACAGATCGGCGGTAGACCGCGGACATCGAGTCCGCACGCTCCTGAGCGGGGTGGGGTCTCAGGCCCCCCTGAGCGAGAAGTGGGCGATTGTCGGCGGTGCACCCAGGGGGGGAAGGCAGAGGGGACGGGCCTGCTCAGGAGGCTCAGAAGGCATCTGGCCTGCTGAGAGGCTTCTCAGATGAGACGAGGAGCAGCATCAGCAGGAAGGGTGGTGGATGAGGACGAGTAGCAGCAGGAACAGGGGAGAGGAGCGCGATGGGAGGAGGAGCAGGAGGACAAAGAGGAGGAATCTGGCTTTTGAGAAGGCGTCTAAGCCTTCTCCAGAGCCACAGGGAGCTTCTCCGAAGACTGGAGGGCTTCCGAGAAGCCCCGCATGCCCTTTGGCCTTCCCCTCTGGGCGCGCCGACGAGAGTGGAGGCCGATGCGTTCATCCCTGCGCCGATCCTCCGTGACTGACGGGGCCCAAGAGCACACAAGTAGATAGACACACATCCCAGGACTCCCAATATTTGTCATGTTTATCTGGATGCTCGTCTTCTCCTCCACTTCCCCTGCTTGTCCGCGTTCGCTGGGAATCGACGATCATTTGAGTCTGTGCGCTTGTTTCCCACCTGACTGACGTTGCCCCTGAGGGGGGCAGGGGGGGAGGGGGGCGCCCATGGATTCGCTACCAAGGCCTTGCCCGCTTCCCCATCGAAGCCGTGGCACGGTCAAGCACAAGGACGCGGGGACATGCGCCGACCGTTCCACCTTGCATCGATCGCGGCCCCGATCGTTCAAGGTGGAATTCCGTGGGGTCCAATGGCGTCACCGCGCACCATCAAGGCTTCCGCGACGCAAATTTCAACCGTGAGCGCCTTCGCCAGCGTCGCCGGCACGTCATCGCCGCACGAAAACATCGTGCCCCATAGCGCGATTCCATCATACAAAAATCTCCAACACCGTTGATCCGACCAGCCAGCCCTGCTGGGGAAGGTCTCAATTCCTCCCCCCGGACATCTGGCATCACCCAAAAAGAAAACGACCGCGGGTTGCTCGTCTATCGAGGCCTGAGCCGACGGTTTCGGGCCCGGAGGCCGTCAAATAAGCACTCCTGATGGAAAACTGGTTCCGGGGACGGAATCGCAGAGACCGGTGGCAAACGTAACGAACAAATCAGGATGTCAGATGTCTGGCTCCGTGACCGGATGTCCATCCCGTCTATATGTCCAAAGGCCCTGGGGCCTGGTAAGGGCCCCCAAATGCCGAGAGATGCCGAACATCTTCTGCCGTGTTTTGCTTTTCACAGACTGAGTGGTCGGGGGGAAGGGGCGGGGAGGGGGAAGAGGGAGGAGGAGGGGGAAGGAGGGAGGTGGAAGGCGGGGGGAAGACGGGGTAGAGGGAAGCGGGGAAGAGGAGGAGAGGTAAGGAGAGGAAGGCGGAGGGGAAGGCGGAGGGAGGGGAGGGAGGGAGGGAGGGAGGAAGTGGGGCAGGGAGACTGGGCGCGGGTGCAGGAGGGAGGGAGGGAGGTGGGAGGTTGTACAGGCCAGGGGAGGAGTAAGAGGAGGGAGGGGGGAAGCAGGGGGGAAAGCGCAGGGAAAGGGGAAGGGAAGAGGGGGCACACGGGGTGGAGGGAGGAGGGAAAGAGATGGAGGAGAGAAAAGGTAGATGGAGCGGGAGGGGGGGGGGGGAGGGGTGAAAAGGGGGGGAGAAGGCAGACGGCAGGGAGCAGAGGGAAAGAAGGAAAGGAGAAGGGAGGGCGGAGGAGGGAGGCAGGAGAGAACAGCCACCGCAGTCCGTGCGGCCGAGTGGAACGGCCTGCTGAAGGGCCAAGCAAAAACAACCCTGGCTGCCGTGGGCAAGGTTGACCGTTGTTTACATGGACCGTCTCTGCCTCTACACTCACGTGCGTGCCGTCGGCGACGTGCGTCCCCTTCCTTCTTCTGGGCAGTGAGGCCTGGCACAAGTACACCGTGCACCAGCAACACGAATGGAGGGCGCTGGGCGCTCGTCGACCAGCTGCGGTTCGTCGAACTGGCGTGCGACGAGCACCGGTCGTGGCCGCGGGGCCCGTGGGTGTTGGCAAACTCGTCCGCCGTCGGCGTCACGGGAGGCACCTCCGGAAAGGACTCGGGCGCACCCGAGCCACAGGAGGCCCAGACGCGGTGCACGGAACCCGATGCGGATCTTCGCGCTTGCCGGCGCGACGTGTGCTTCGTGTCTCGCGGGATGCTCCACACGGCTCTAGTTCATCGCCCTCTCGTCGAAAGCCGGCACAGGACCCGCTGCATAGAGTGGTGCGTTGCCACTTGCCACTCTATGACAACCCGAAGAGAGTGACGCGCTGATCGCGTTCGATTCTCGAGAACGGCGGCTCGCGCAGAAGTCTGGGATGAAACATCCTAAGGGCCAAACTCCAGCTGTCAGACCTGATGGCCAGAGATTGGGAAGGGTGTGCATGTAGCAGTTCAGCTTCCTTTGATTTGCGTCGCTTGCAGCATACTGCTGGCAACAAGCAGGAGGGAAAATGGAGGAGGAAGGGGAGGAGGGAGGGAGGCTGATGCAGGGGGAAGAGGGCCCCCCCCTCGTCTGCTGCCAGTCTGCCCCCCTCCGCCTCCGCCACGTTTCTTTAACCACCTGTGAGACTTTTCGAAACCGCCGTCTTTCAAAGGGTCCCGGGACACACAAATAAAAAAAAACAGATCCTGCGGATCCTGATATGTTCCATATTTCCTGGATGTTGGTGTTCCCCCACACACACACACACTTCCCATGTGTTCCATATTATCCTGGGAATCGACGGTTGTATCTGTGTGGTTTCTCCCCTGCCGCCTTCTTCTGTCGTGCTGTGACAAACTCGGAGTCGGAGGGCGCAAGCTCCTTCGCTCATCACACACACGCACACACGCACACGCGCACACACGCACACACACACACACACACGCACGCACGCACACACACACACACACACACACACGCACACACACACACACACACACACACACACACACACGCACACACACGCACACACACGCACGCACACGCACGCACGCACGCACGCACACACTTTTGGGCGGTAACGGCCTTCAGCGCAGCGACGAGGCGGAGAAAAGGAACCGGCAGTGCACGCGGCGGCCGGGGCCGGGCCCCCAGAACCGCTGAGGACGCGGTGCTGCCAGCATCAGCCGTCCCGGCGCGGATGGCAGGGAGGGTACACGCAGCACCGCGGGGGAAGCCCTCACGGGCAGCACGAGGCAAGGAGAACGGAATCCACACACACACACACACGCACACACACACACACACTTTTTTGATTCGCGGGTCGAGAGCGCACCTCTTCTGGTCGAAGCTCACACACACACACACACACACACACACGCACACACACACACACACACACACACAAACACACACACACACACACACACGCTTTTGGCGATCGCGGCATCGCGCGCAGCGACGGTGCTGGGAAAATCCCCAGGCAACCAGAGCGCGGGCGCGGCCGGCCCCTCAGGAGATGGGGCAAGTCTCGAGAAGCGATCGACCCTGCCATGCACACACCAGAGCGTGGGCAGCGGGGGCGACGAGGCGCAGGTGAGGCATGCCAAGAGGCAGGCAAGTGGGTGTGCGGTGCTGCCAGGCAACCGGGACGACACACACGCAACAGAAAAAAAACTCTCACCCACACACACACACACACAACAAAACACACACACACACACACACACGCACGCACGCACGCACGCACGCACGCACGCATACACACACACACACACACACACACACACACACACACACGCACGCACGCACGCACGCACGCACGCACGCACGCACACACACACACACACACACTCGCTCGACTAATTGAGCGGCCGCGCCACCATTCCCCTTGCGCAATAAGGGCGCAACGCAAGCAAAGCATTCACGCCAACCACATTGGCTTCCTCGCGGCCTCGCTTAGAATGGAATGGCAAGATCGACGACCTTGTGTCATACACCTTTTACCCTTCGCATCGCAAAACGGCCCACGCGTTGCTCCAAACGCACAGCATGCCAATGCTTAACGGAACAGTGCAGTCGGAGTTGTGCACAACTGCATTCGCCGAAACTGCTGGAAGCTCGAGAAATAAGAGACGCGAACGCCACAGCGCTGGCTGCGCAATAAGACGCAAGCAAGCACATGAAGGGCCGACATCGCGCCCCCTGGCACGAGGAGGCGTGATAAAATCTCATGCGCCCTGTGGTAGGGCGTGTGTAAATATTTCAAGGGTCTTCCCCAGGGTCACAAACACTTTGGGCACCCAATAGCCCCCCAGACGACCCCAAGATGCGCCAAAGGGCCCCCTAGGAGGCATCAAAGAGATCAAGAGGTCTGATGGGAAAGCGAGAGCAACTGAAATCGCAAAAGTAATCCTCCCAGTTTCACCGTTGCGCTTACCTCTCAACTCGACATTGCCACAGAGATGCCGAACGAGCCACAGAGAGGAGCCAGAGAGGAGCCCAGAGATGAGCCACAGAGATGCCTCTCAACTAAGTTGGCCCAGAGAGGAGCCACAGAGATGCCGAACGAGCCATATGAGGATCCCAAGAAGCCCCCCAGACAGCCCAGAGCAGACCCAAGAGGGGCCCAGAACGACCCAAGAGATGCAGAGAGCACCCAAAGACGGAGCCAAGCCAGCACAAGATGGCCCAAGACGGCCACACAGTAGCTCAAGCCAGCCTGAAACGGCCCAGGTAGACCCCATGAGAGCCCCTCAAGGAATAATGATGAGAGGTGTCACATGTTACGACCTCCTGAGCGGTGCGCAAAGTGTCTCCACACAGAGTGCTACGCTGGCGTGGTAGCGGAAGTTGCCGCGCGTAGCTGAATAGCGTGACAACAGAGTAAAGGCCACAATCGAATTGCTTTGCGGCTGTCACACCTGCCCACGCTCATCGTCCCATTCGTCCACTGGTTTCGATGTATCTTTGGACACGATCACACTCTTCTCCCTGTTCTTCATTTGCAAGTCATAGATCTTATCCGAGAGCTGTATGCGCTGCTCCGGCGTTAGCTCGTTCGACTCAAATTTTTGCATAATCTCGGTGAGGTCCTGGCCCTGGCTTGTCGCTGCTTTTATCATCCACTCAGCAGCGAGCAGCGAGTCTTGCGGGATGCCGTCGCCCCTATGGAGCATTTGTGCCAAATACGTCATGCCCTGTGTGTGTCCTTGCTCAGCAGCAGCCCTGAAGGACTTTGCAGCCTCGAACTTGTTCTGTGGAAGACCCATGCCGTGAAGCTTAGCCCATCCGAGATTGAAGTTCGCACCAGGGTCCCCCTGGGCGGCCGCTTTCTCCCACCACTGGATCGCCAAGGTCTTGTCCTCTGGCAAGCCAACGGAACCCTGCCAATACCAGATACCCAGCGTCGACTGCGCGATTCTGGACCCATCCATCCCGGCCTGGGTGACTTTCTGGATCCCCTCCAAGATCTTCTCTTGTGGGGCCCTCCCCTGATCCATGAGCGCAACGGCCTCCTGGTAGAGGTCATCTGCGCTCGCTCTGGTGACGAATCTCTGAAGTCTGCTAGATATGTGTGATGCGACTGGCGGATGTTTGCTAAAGTGACGTCCACGTACGAAAATACCGAAGGCGACGTCGGCAACCTGCCAGAGCCCGATCGAAGCCGTCATGGCGACGAGCGCCAGCCCGATGCTGCGGCATCTTCGCCGAGCGGCTGTCATCGCACCAGCGCGCGCCTGGAACGCCCGCTGGAGAGGGGTCCCCCGACCCAGCTTGAGCTCAGATGGCCACGACAGTGTCGGACTCAGCTGTATAAGAAGTCATGTACTGATGCTGCGTGACGCCCTGGTGTTGCGACTGATGATGCAGAGGTCTCTGGCTCGGTGTTCGCTGATGAGCTGCTCACCATCGACGACTCAGTGCCAAACCGAACTCAGGCATGACAAGAAGTGATGCACTGATGTTGCGTGACGCCCTCGTGTTGCGACTGATGCTGCAGAGGTACCTGGCCTGACATTCGCCGATCAGCTGCTCACCGTCGAATACTCAAGGCCCAGTGACCCAACTAAGTGGCAAAACAGGGTAACGAAAACTCGGCCTGCACACACCACCCTGTCTTTCTGCAGGATGCCTAGTGTTAACCAACGTGGACCCCTAACAGTGTGCTTCTAGCAACATATAAAAGCTGCGCATTGTGTAGAGCAACCTATGTGGTGCAAGACATGCTGTGCAACCGATGATGCGCAGTACATGTTGTGCAATATATGTAGTGCGGTATATGTGGTAAACATATGTGGAGCACTCGATGTGGCACAATACCGATGGTGCAACGAGTGTGGTTTCGATCTATGTTCTGCGATACAGATTGCGCTCTATGTGGTGCAGTAGATGTTGCGCCAAATATGTGGTACTAAACATGTTGTGCCAACTATGTGATGCAATATATGTTGTGCAACCTATGCGGTGCAATCTGTGTTGCGCGAAGCAATTCAACACAAAGCAATACGAAGCAAGGCGGAGACGGGGCGGCTGCCGCCAGACCGCCAGCCTTGCGGGACAGCAAGCGACCATAAGCACATCGAGGACATACCCTGGGGGAGGTCTAGCGCATGCCAAAATTCCTCGGAACACCAAAAATAGCTTCGTACTGGTTGTGGTCGACGTGGCGTCCCGGGACAACCACAACCAAAGTGCGCATGTCGAGGTCGGTGTGCTCTCCAAGGGGCACTTCCGAAAAATCGCTTGGTTGCGGTTGTGGTTTTCGTTGTGCCCGGAAGCAAGGCCCAGACGACGGGCGGCGACTGAGCGGCGACGGGGCGGCGACGGCGGCAACATGGCCACCAGACCGCCAGCCGGGCCCAGACGACGGGCGGCGACGAGGCAACGACGGGGGGCGACGGCGGCAACGTGGCAGCCAGACCGCCGGCCAGGCCCCAATCCATGAGACTGAACAGTAAGGACCCCCCCCAAAAAAACGACCACTGCCTGGGGGAAAAAAACTGCATCGATCCGCGAAGGCCCCGACTTACGAGCCTGGAAGATATCTCCATCCCTATGCTGGGCACCTCCTCATCGGGATGCCAGTCTTAGGGAATCCCTTATTTTTTGAGGGCGAATCCCTAAGATTGTCATCGCCTGTTGGCGTGTCAATCTTAGGGATAGGGATACGTTCGAGGCTGGTAACCGACACCTGAAACGGAGGAGAAGTGCGTGCCCGTCGGGGTGTTGCGCGACGCCCAGACCCGAGGGCGCGCCACGAGTGGAGAGCAGTCTCTGGCTTGAGAGGTTCGGAAGCGCGCAATCGGACTGACTACCTACCAGACCACCCCATCCCAACCCGAAGACCCGAATGTGACCCGAATTTCGGGTTGGGGGGGGGGTACGGGTTCCATATGTGTTTTCTCGATGTTCCCCGACCCCCCCCACTGGAAATGGAGGGCAAATCTGAGCCTTCGGGTTGGGTTGGGGTGGTTTGGTAGGTGGTGACGGACGGCTCGGCTCGCACAAACCGACGTCCCCGGGGCACCGCCCTGTGACGGCGCCCCGCTCGTCACTGCAGGTTCCAGCCAGGCGGCCCGCGCTGGCTCGGGTGCAAGCTCGAACTTACCCAGGGCGCCCCTCCTCTGGTCTCACCGATGCCGCTTCACACCCCTTCCCATGACAACTCGACCGGGAATCGCGCACGGTCAAAGTCCAGAGAACGGGTGCAAAGTAAGGATGCAAGACCCTTGAAAGTCCCATTTACCATTTAGCATCCTTACTACTAAGTCTGTCTGTATGGACGGGCTGGTGGGTGTACGCAGAACGTCAAGAATATGATCGCCTTGCGCACCTCAGGACGACCTGCTCGCACCCAGTCGCGCTCACGGGTACCAACCCGTCTGACACTGCGAGCGGAGTCCAGCCCCGACGCTGAGCACGACCAGGACATCTGCAGGAAGCACATCAAAAGTACCAACCATCAATCGGCGGTGGAAAGACCTCCCTTTAGTAGACCTCCCCTTAGTGGAAACGGCCTGGGACCGAAACCGGCGGACCTGGATCCGCAGAAATGACGGCCGCGACGCCCTCTCGCGAACCGAGAACGGCCAATTCCTTAATCGACGTGTCAGGGTAGGAGGTCTGTCCACCCCCGATTAAGACACAATTGACCTCAAAAGCGGTCAACATGTGCACATCCACGCCAACGCGGTCTCGATTCCGGGGCGCGATCCCGCGGACACGCGGTCGCACGGATACGCTCCGCGCAGAGCATCCCCCAAAAAACACCCTGTCTCCGCGTGGTCGGCCCAAGGGCCCGGCCAACGCCTACGAAAACCATCTGGACCATCATGACCCTTCATGGTTTTCGGCGAATCGAGGAGAACGAAGAGGAGTACGGAAAATACTGCGAAGAAGCTTCCTCATGAGCGCAAATCATCCTGACTTCCGTCGCGCGAAGAAGTGGGCCCCCGACCGCGCCCCTGGACACCGTTTACAGGAAATTCTGGGGAAATCCGGGCGAATGCCAGATTGGCGGGCTCGCTTGGGAGGTCTTCACGAGACTTGCCTCGGAGCCCCCCCGCGCGCGGCCCCAGCGGAGAAGGGCAGAGAGGAAGCAAGAAAGCAGAGGGGGGGGGGAGGGGGAGGGGGGAAGAGCTGGGGGAAAACGAGAAATGGGTCCTGGGGACAAACAAAACAGGAGAAAGGCGGAAAAGGGCAGAGGGAGAGCAAACAAAAATGCAGAGGGCAAAGGGGCAAAGAGAACAGGGTCCAGAAGAAAATACAGCCAAAACGTGTATTGAGGACGGGTGGTAAGGACGCAAGACCCTTGGAAGCCGAAATCGGGAGTTTTCGTGCGGCGGGCGACCCGTGAAAGCGGCAAAGGACGGGCCGCAGATGCAAGGACACTGTAAGAAGGGAAGAAGGCGGAAAGAGGGCAGAGTGGTAGCAAAGAAGAGCAGAGGAAAGGGAAATCAGAGGGCAGAGGGGGCAAAGAAAAAAGGCACAAGGGGAAAAGCAGCAAAGGTCCCGAAGAGCGGCGGGCAGGCCAGGGGGGGAGGGGACCAAAGAAAGGGGGAGACACCGCCCCCCTTCCAAAAAAAAGGCTCCGTCAGCAAAGCCCACGCCCCGAGGGGGAGACAACAGAAAAGAGGGTCAGGGATAACAAGACAAAGGCGGGCAGGGGAGCGCGAGGGGAAGGCGGGGGGGGGGCGGAAGGGGAGGAGAAAGGCGGGGGGCGCGGGCGCAAGACGTGCGCAATCACCTTCAAGACCACCCTCCGGGTGCTACAAACGCTGGGACAGGATGGGTCAAATTTCGGCGTTCGATCTGCTTCTCGAATTGGCAACAACCTTACTATTACAACTCTTCCGCGCCGCCCAAACCCTTCTGATAGTTTAAACTGTCCTAACGATGTGAACGCTAGCTCCCGCTCCCTTCCCTCCTTTTTTCATTGGCTCAAGCACCAAGGTTCCGAGGCCGCTCCCGGCCCCTAGCGCGGGGCCGAAGCGGCAGACAGCTAGCACAGGAGGCGCAGCGGCGCCGCAACAATCAAGTGAAAAACCAGGGTGGGCGGGCGGGACAAGCGGCCCCACCCTTGAGCCCAAAACGGCAGCAGGCAAGCGGCGCGCGCGGCTAAGATGCGAGGAGGGGGGACGCGGGGAGTCGAACTTTGCTTCACCTTTGTGAGTCCGAGTTAGCTCCCGCTCCCTTCCCTCCTTTTTTCATTGGCTCAAACACCAGGGTTCCGAGGCCGCTCCCAGCCCCAATGCCAATGACGGAAAAGAAGGGAGCGGCAAAGGAACGGGGCACTGCGGTGCCTAATTCTCGGGGCCAGGAGTCATCGACGACGCCCTGCGCCAGCAAGCCGGCGGCCACCTCGTCGCCCGACACGCACGGCCGGGCTGATGCCACCGATGGCCAACCACCCCGTGCGAGCATGGCTTCCACGCCCGACGCAGCAAAAACGTCTGCGGCAGCGCCCCGCCGGACGTCGCGCCCAAACCACGCCTCGGGGCTAGCGACCCCGACCGCCCGCAAGTGGCACAGGAGCTCTGCCGCCCAGGACTCAGGAGTGCATCCGCCGAGCGGGCGGCCCCCGACCCCGAGGAGCTCATCCCAAACGGGTAACCACGTGCGAAGGCAGATGCCTTCATCCACCCCGCACGTACAAAAGGCGAAAACGGTGCACAAGTCGATCCTCTGCTTCCGGCGGATCGGCCCGTACACGAACCGACCGCCCTGCACCTGCACGCGAGCGCGCGTGCACTGCGCAAACAGCTCGGATGGCATCCGCAACAGAAAATTGCATGCAAGCGCTGCAATGACGCACCACCACCTGCGCTGACGCGACAGCGCGATGCGGAGCAACCGCCGCAGCAGCAGTCGGTCAACCCGTTGCCTGGGTAGCCGGGGCGCCCGGCATTTGGCTGTGCCCAAACGAATGCCGCGCAAGATGACGTCCTGATCGCCTTGCCAGGGAACGCCACCGACCTGATGCGCCAGGGCCCACGCGCTCAACCACCCACGCTGTGCGGAGACACACGCGCAAATTACAGCAACCCTACGAACGCGCTGCACGGAGCACCCCAGCGGGGGTTCACCTAACAACTCGCTGGCCCACGCAATCATACGCAAATGCGATGCGTAAGTCCGCAGCGTGGACGGAACCGTTTTGCACAGGAACCGTTCTTGGACCACCGAGTCCGCAACGGCCATGAGGTTCGCGCCAGCCGCACGG